CCCAGACACCTCAGACAACATATGTTGACTGTAGTATTCCCTCAGTACAGGTCTGTAGGAGGGATGATGCCCTGACACCTCAGACAACATATGTTGACTGTAGTATTCCCTCAGTACAGGTCTGTAGGAGGGATGATGCCCTGACACCTCAGACAACATATGTTGACTGTAGTATTCCCTCAGTACAGGTCTGTAGGAGGGATGATGCCCTGACACCTCAGACAACATATGTTGACTGTAGTATTCCCTCAGTACAGGTCTGTAGGAGGGATGATGCCCAGACACCTCAGACAACATATGTTGACTGTAGTATTCCCTCAGTACAGGTCTGTAGGAGAATTATATGAATATACACTGCAGTTTCTGTCTGCTTTCATTATAAACATTTACAAAAGAACAAAGTAAATAACAGCTATGGTGATATATTCCAATTTTCACTAGAGAAATCAATGGTTTTTATACTGTTTCCGTAAATAGATTAAAATGTTCAAAATTAGGTAGCTGAAAATGCAGATAGGATCAGTTTATATATAGATATGCCCTGGGAATGTATCGGTACTTTTAGCTGTTTGTTCATTTAGACCATAGACATGGTTGACTGCAGGTGTTGTTAGTAGCATGGTAGGGACATGGTTGACTGCTGCACTGCCAGAGTCTCTGGGAACCTGCTACCAGTCTGACAGACAAGTAGCCAGGTTTTGTAGGCCTGTTACTGGCATTGCCCCTTGACAACATGTAATATTCATGTTTGTCATCGGCAGCTTGCTCCTAAACTTTGACACTAAAACCACTAATCATTCTATGTTTTATACAGTAGTCACATCAACAAAATTGCTGGTAACCTTTGATATTTTTTAGGGTTGTTTCTCATGAAGCTATTTAAAAGGGTTCAATTTGCATCATGTTTTATTATTGCTTAGGGCCTCTGAAGAAATCATGGAAGTCATGAAGCATGAATTTAAATCCAACAGTCGTGTTAGTGTTTTGAATAAACAGTAAATCCTATTGCATTCTAAAGACTTATTTTCATATCAAAAGAAAGATAAGTCCACATTAGCATGTTGCTGTTACTGTATCTGTGTACCTGTCTAATTTATCAACCTTTCAGACACAACATATTATGCAGGATGTTGATGTACACATTCTTATTTGTCAATCCTATGTGTGTGAAATCATGGTAAAAAAAGTGTTGGATCAGTCGCTAGTGAGTCATATTAGACAGGTGTGGGATCAGTAACTAGTGGGTCAGATTAAACAGGTGTGTGATTAGTAACTAGTTGGTCAGATTAGACAGGTGTGTGATTAGTCACTAGTGGGTCAGATTAGACAGGTGTGTGATTAGTCACTAGTGGGTCAGATTAGACAGGTGTGTGATTAGTCACTAGTGGGTCAGATTAGACAGGTGTGTGATTAGTCACTAGTGGGTCAGATTAGACAGGTGTGTGATTAGTCACTAGTGGGTCAGATTAGACAGGTGTGTGATTAGTCACTAGTGGGTCAGATTAGACAGTTGTGTGATTAGTCACTAGTGGGTCAGATTAGACAGGTGTGTGATTAGTCACTAGTGGGTCAGATTAGACAGGTGTGGGATTAGTAACTAGTGGGTCAGATTAGACAGGTGTGGGATTAGTAACTAGTGGGTCAGATTAGACAGGTGTGGGATTAGTCACTAGTGGGTCATATTAGACAGGTGTGGGATTAGTCACTAGTGGGTCAGATTAGACAGGTGTGTGATTAGTCACTAGTGGGCCAGATTAGGCAGGTGTGGGATTAGTAACTAGTGGGTCAGATTAGACAGGTGTGGGATCAGTTACTAGTGGGTCAGATTAGACAGGTGTGGGATCAGTTACTAGGGGGTCAGATTAGACAGGTGATATCAGTAACTGCTGGGTCAGATTAGACAGGTATTGGATCAGTTACTAGTGGGTCAGATTAGACAGGTGTTGGATCAGTTACTAGTGGGTCAGATTAGACAGGTGAGATCAGTAATTATTGGGTCAGATTAGACAGGTGAGATCAGTAACTAGTGGGTCAGATTGAATTGGTTATTTGACAGTAAATAAATTGTAAATTGTTTATCAATATAGGAAGAAGTTTGTGAAATACATATACATTAATGTTATATACTAATCCTATTTGTTAGGAGACCTGTTTATCAATACAATACAAATTATTTATAAACAATTATGTAGATTGATGTTTCTGCATTTTACATACATTAATGCTCTATAGTATGCTTTGTGGATATTGACATACTCTTTCTGGTATGTCATTACACAACAGGACTGTGATCACAGCCTGTCCGCATGATGGACTAATGGTGCCTCATAAATTCTGTTTTAAGTGTGAAGTAATTGCTGCAGTCTTGCTCTCCCAGGAAAAGCTCGAGTCTCAATTGCTAACTGCCTGGCGACATCAACAGCATATTACACATATATCTCTGCAAGCACTTCATTATGAGATTTGCATATTTGTTGGATAATGGTTTAGTTTATTTGAGCTGTCTGTGTATATAGCATGATGAAATCCCAATCTTCCAACCTGTATGTTTCCAGTAAAACACCACAATAAGTGCTACCAATGAAGTTGCTGGCAGATCTGTCAGTTTTGTCAACAAAATACATGAGATGTTATCTGAACCAAAACATATGGTGAAAGAAAATGTAACAATGTGTTGAAGAAGTAGATAGGCAGCCTGTAGTGTCATACTTCAGGAAGCACTTCAGGCTAGTCCACAAAACTGCAGCATTCCTTGTACGTGTATACTGTAAATCACTTATTTTTTGTGAGGGATTATATTTTGCATTTATTCATGTTGGCATCATTCGAGATTTCAAATCCATCGCGAACATACGTTTGCTGAAGTTATCTTAGATAAATGACCTTTTTAGTGTTGTACCCCCGAAATCATGTATTCACGAATAAGACCATCACTAACCTTTATTTAAAATTAAATACTAAATAAAAATAAAATGATTTTAAGTATGTTAGGGTTCAAAGTGCTCAGGTTAAAAAATGTGTAAAGTGAAGAACGAGAGATTCATGGTCATTCGTAGGTCAAGATTACATTAAGTAAAAGTAACAGAAAATCATAGGTTGGGGATTACCTGGTAATACTACAGCTTGGTATTGTATTTTGCTGCAAGGTTTTCCGTGTATTTGTTGGATTTGACAGGTCTCCTGATAAGGACTGATTTAGTATGCATATACACAGCATATTGGCATTGGCAGCTAAACAGAATACACAATCAATGGCTTTTACTGTCAGCCCACACTTTCTTCATCTCTGGAGGTCACACAGCCACTGGAGGGAGTAAAAACATAACAAAATTTAAATGAAGCTGTAAAAATGCCATACACATTGACAAAATAATTGTAGCGTTTTTGTCTGAAGGAATTTTAATCAATAAAAGTATTTGTGATTTCTTTTGATAAACAAAGTCCATGTTGTGTGTGAGGAGTCAGGAGGTAGAAAGAGATTATATATAGAATCAATGAAAACAGTTTACTTTTCTTATAAATCCATTGTTTATTTCTTTCTTGAAAACTTATTTGTAAAATTTCATTACTGAGAATAGTTTATCTTTGACATGGTTGCTGAAATATCAAGATAAACAATATGAAAAAGAACCCATTGGGTCCCATTTGTAAATTCCAAATATCTTCAAAAAACTGTTAATTAATTTAAACATTCTTGAAGATTTAAAAAAAAATAACAGTAGTGGTATATAAATCAAATATTAAGAAGGGAGATAACTCTATCATCCTTTATAAAGAATTACTGCAACATAAAAAATCCTTAATGTTTTATTGTATTTGTATTTGTCCTAAAATATGAATATGTCTTTTCCTGTTGAGAACTACAGTGCTGGTTTGTATAATCATACACGGGTGAGATCTTTCTTTATTATGAATTGCATAAAATCTATTTTCTGAAGAGTGTCTTGCAAATATCACTGATTAATAATAGATACAACTAGACCCCTGATCAGTGATGCATTATGGCCTTCTTTATATAAAACCGTTTCAAATGTCAAAGATCAGCTAATGCATTAATCAAGTTCATTAACTGAACTTTATTAAATTCAAATTCTTCTCCTTTTCAACATTTTTGATATAAAAATCACACCTCAGCCTTCTTATATAACCGGTTATCTGTACTTAATAAATCATTAGTTCTATTTTTGTATTGTTTTAAATAGCTGTTCTTACAGATATACATCCACCTATTTTACCTTATATTAAATGAAGTGTGATATGTAACATAAGTTTGAGTACAACTTTGTTATAATAAGTTATTTAAATAATTAATTCATTTGCTCTGATATATATATGTATATATATCTTAAGCAAAGTGACAGATTTAAGTTTTCAATGTTTTGCATAACTCATACATGTATTCATAAGAAAGTGAGAGAAAGCATCCATTCGTGTTCCTATTAGGCAAACATGCATGGTGAATGAGACAAATTTCACAGATGAGACAAGCATGTGACATCACTTAATTGTGCTGTTACAGTAGTGTTTTTTATACACACATCTTGAATAGTTACGATATGGGCTTATTATAATACATGTACATGATAGACCAGGCCAGATAGGTGATCGGAGAAAATCAACATGGGCACTTTTCTGTTTTAAACAATTTTTTTTACTACTTTATACTCACTGTTAAGAAAAATTTAGGAAATATGCCAGAACACAATGAAACATGCTCTTTAAAGCAAACTCTTTAGTTATTTGTTTAATTTTGTTTTGCTGTATCTATGATATATATAAATACACACATATTTATGTATACAATAATCATTGAGAGCGGTTATGTTGCTGGTTAATTTTTTGACAGTTCCAAGCGATACCTTGAAAAAAAAATAACATTGTGGAAAGACTGACATAGTTAAAAGGGTCACAACTTCAATCTTTATGTATAGAATCTGTGTAAAATGTCCTGCCTCACCAGACACTATGTAATGATACATTTATTTGTTTGTTTGTTATAGTTGTCTGGTGGTGCGATCCTTGGAGTCGGAATCTGGTTTCTGGTGGACAAGAACATCAGCAGTTACTTCACAGTAGTTGATATTGACACCGGGGACTCATACTTCAAGTATGCAGCCTACATCCTCATCGCATTCGGAGCCTTTGTCTTCCTTGTTGGATTCTGTGGATGTTGTGGTGCTATCCGTGGCAGCAAGTGTCTCCTTGGCTTCGTAAGTCTACGATATTCTGGTGTCTTTAACACACACAGCTTCGTTTTTAAGTTTTCATTATTTTTATCAGTTAATATCTTCACTCAGCTGTATAAGGCTACAATCTTTGGTCTGTTGAAGTCCTCAATCAGCTTCGTAAGTCTATAATCTTTAGTCTGTGAAAGTCCTTATTCGGTTTTATAAGTCTGCAGCATTCTGGTATAATTCCTCAAACAGCTTAGTAAGTGAAAATTCTGGTTGTTAAAGTCCTTACTGTATTTTGTAACTTAACGTCTACAATATTCTGGTCTTTTCAAGTCTTCACCCAGTTTTATAAATCTACAGTATCCTATAAAGGCTAGTAACTCTGTAAATCTATAGTGGTGCACCCTATGTGATAAAGAGCACGATAATTAGTACTAGTTATCACATGTATGCATTGTTTTACCTGTTTCAGATTGAAATGTTCAGTCTTTAAGCATCCATGCATTGTCTGTTCCTCAACCCTTCCGAGTCCGTCTCCAAATCCTTATAAATGTTCAGTCTTTAAGCATCCATGCATTGTCTGTTCCTCAACCCTTCCGAGTCCGTCTCCAAATCCTTATAAATGTTCAGTCTTTAAGCATCCATACATTGTCTGTTCCTCAACCCTTCCGAGTCCGTCTCCAAATCCTTATAAATGTTCAGATTGACTTGCTCATGTATTCGTTAAAATTTATTTTCCTTTAAGAAATTTAATACAAACTGCCAGTTATACAGGAGAGGAAGTCTTATCTTTTAACAACAGTCATTAAGTTTCTGAGTGACTTATCATGAGTTGGGGAAGGCCCTGAAGTAGCAATAGTGTTCGGGGGTTAAGACAAATTTTTATCAAGAAGTTAAATGTTACAGATATGAAATGTCACATTGACAGGTTCTTGATCTGTACAATGCTTTACCAGGACAGGAAAAGGAAATTGATTTTCCGACCGGAAATTGAAAAAAAAAAAAAAAAAAAATAGGAAAAAATATTAAAGACATTTGAAATAGTTTTATTGATTGGATTGCCGGTAACTTGTGTGGCTTCTGTTTATATGGCTACATCAGCATTTATGGGATGTTGATTGGAGGCATGATATTCAGTGATGTGTTTTGTGCTTTTCTGAAAATGGGGTCACAAATTTTCATTTTTATCTAGCCATTACAATGAATAGTGAGGCTAATGTAGTCACCCCAGCATTGGTAACATCCAACCTTAAAATGTCAAAAATTTTTTTTGCAAATTTTTCAAGCGGTACTGGATCACAACTGTAAACGGACTGTCGATTAATAAATAGTTCAAGCAATAATATGAACTATTATCAGAATGCTTAGCTATACTTGTTGTATTTATGGAGCTCAAAAAATAACTTTCTGTTTGTGATATTTGGGATCAAGTCTTACTTTGAAGTTTGAGTGGTTGAAACACTTTACCATGTACATCACTAGCACTCTGTCTCTGGGTCATGGATACAAGGCCTACAATGGGGCAGTTGCACGGTACTGGCAGCAGGGTGGTGGTTTAACTCTAGAAACTCTGACTTTCCTTCACCATCCAAACCTTGTATGTCCTTAAATGACCCTGGCTGTTAATAAATAAGCTTTAAAACAATTGAAACTAAAACCTTGTTTATCTGTCATTATAAACTCTTGTTCTTTTGTTTCTCCAGTATGTCTTCTTTCTTATCCTCATTATTGGTGGGGAGGTCGCTGCTGCTGCTCTGATGATACTCTACAGGATTGAGGTAAGTGATTCATCAACTACATCAGCTCCCACCTGTTGTTTATGATGTAAACATTTTACTTGCAGCAAAAATATTATGATCTGGTCTAACACTCGCCAGCTTAAAAGTGTAACTAGATGTCATGTTAACGAGGCAGATGATGCCGTTTTCCCTATTTTCTAAGTTTTCTATGTATTGCCATGTTTTATGTAAGTAGTGTCGCTGTATATCTGCTGTTACAAACTGACTGATATATTTCAGGTTGAGAAAAAGATTGATACAATCCTTGAGAAATCTGTGAAAGAGAAGTACTCTAACAGTTCAACTCTACGTGATGCCTGGGGCTTCATCCAGATCAAGGTAAAAAAAATGTTTTACACACATTCAACAAACTCCTCGTGGCAAATCGGTATATTGTGATTTACGGAAGCACTGTAATGTTATACCAAATAGCTCGTAGTACTGTGTGAATAATGTAAGGATTGGATGGGAAGGGGTGAAAGGTGGAATTGACAAAACGGTATTTATTGTAGAGAAAGAAGGCATTATCTTCTACTGTTCTAAAACCTCAGGCACCGTTTACCAGGAATGAGCTTTTAACAGGTAAAATGATGTAAAATTCGTCAAATGTTTATAATGTAAATCACTGTGACAAAGTGATGAATAGAATATTGAACTTCACCCTGCGGTAATTTTTACTGTTTCTGTGTTGTATGTGTGTTTCAGTTTGACTGCTGTGGTTACAGTGGGCCAGCTGACTATATGAATAATGAATACTTGGTGAAAAAGGGCCTGGTAAGTTTATAGTTGTTTATATGTTGTGTGTTTTTATCATACTTAAATATCTGTGGTTAAATCTCCATCAAAGGGACATATCTGGTATACATGTATACAGTTTTGTGAACTTTGTAAATTTTCTCAATGACATTCTGACACTGATGTAAAAGTGTAGTAGAATATTGTATGTTTGCTTATTTCAATATTTTTTCTTGACAAATTAGAACATTCCTCGGTCGTGCTGCGTATTGACTAACAAGGCAACAGCTATGGAAGAAGTGAAGTCAGCTAATCCAAAGAATGCTTCAGAGTGTAACAGCAAGACTGCCAATTTCTTCTATGAAAAGGTATAGGAAGCTGATGACTTTGTGAAATGCACTCTTACAGCTGTGTCCGTTACATTCTTTGTTTTATGTTTCACAATTGTAAGTTTCCTTATTACCACTGATAAACCTATGTCCCCCCACATTCTGTTATATATTTCTGTAGGGCCCAGGACCCCCCCCCCCCCCCCCCCCCCCCCCCCCCCAACATTCTGTGTTATACAATTAGACAGTTACAAGTGTCAAACATCAATACAATTAGACAGTTACAAGAGTCAAACATCAATACAATTAGACAGTTACAAGTCAAACATCAATACAATTAGACAGTTACAAGGGTCAAACATCAATACAATTTGACAGTTACAAGGGTCAAACATCAATACAATTAGACAGTTACAAGTCAAACATCAATACAATTAGACAGTTACAAGAGTCAAGCATCAATACAATTAGACAGTTACAAGGGTCAAACATCAATACAATTAGACAGTTACAAGTGTCAAACATCAATACAATTTGACAGTTACAAGAGTCAAGCATCAATACAATTAGACAGTTACAAGAGTCAAGCATCAATACAATTTGACAGTTACAAGTCAAACATCAATACAATTAGACAGTTACAAGAGTCAAACATCAATACAATTAGACAGTTACAAGAGTCAAACATCAATACAATTAGACAGTTACAAGAGTCAAACATCAATACAATTTGACAGTTACAAGAGTCAAACATCAATACAATTAGACAGTTACAAGTCAAACATCAATACAATTAGACAGTTACAAGAGTCAAACATCAATACAATTTGACAGTTACAAGGGTCAAACATCAATACAATTAGACAGTTACAAGTCAAACATCAATACAATTAGACAGTTACAAGAAAATAAGTCAAACATCAATACAATTAAACAGTTACAAGAGTCAAACATCAATACAATTAGACAGTTACAAGAGTCAAACATCAATACAATTTGACAGTTACAAGAGTCAAACATCAATACAATTAGACAGTTACAAGAGTCAAACATCAATACAATTTGACAGTTACAAGTCCAACATCAATACAATTAGACAGTTACAAGTGTCAAACATCAATACAATTTGACAGTTACAAGAGTCAAACATCAATACAATTTGACAGTTACAAGAGTCAAACATCAATACAATTAGACAGTTACAAGAGTCAAACATCAATACAATTTGACAGTTACAAGAGTCAAACATCAATACAATTTGACAGTTACAAGAGTCAAACATCAATACAATTAGACAGTTACAAGAGTCAAACATCAATACAATTAGACAGTTACAAGAGTCAAACATCAATACAATTAGACAGTTACAAGAAAATAAGTCAAACATCAATACAATTAGACAGTTACAAGAGTCAAACATCAATACAATTAGACAGTTACAAGAGTCAAACATCAATACAATTTGACAGTTACAAGTCAAACATCAATACAATTTGACAGTTACAAGAGTCAAACATCAATACAATTTGACAGTTACAAGAGTCAAACATCAATACAATTTGACAGTTACAAGAGTCAAACATCAATACAATTTGACAGTTACAAGAGTCAAACATCAATACAATTTGACAGTTACAAGAGTCAAACATCAATACAATTAGACAGTTACAAGAAAATAAGTCAAACATCAATACAATTAGACAGTTACAAGTGTCAAACATCAATACAATTTGACAGTTACAAGAGTCAAACATCAATACAATTAGACAGTTACAAGTCAAACATCAATACAATTAGACAGTTACAAGAGTCAAACATCAATACAATTTGACAGTTACAAGAGTCAAACATCAATACAATTTGACAGTTACAAGAGTCAAACATCAATACAATTTGACAGTTACAAGAGTCAAACATCAATACAATTAGACAGTTACAAGTGTCAAACATCAATACAATTAGACAGTTACAAGTGTCAAACATCAATACAATTTGACAGTTACAAGAGTCAAACATCAATACAATTAGACAGTTACAAGAGTCAAACATCAATACAATTAGACAGTTACAAGTCAAACATCAATACAATTAGACAGTTACAAGTGTCAAACATCAATACAATTAGACAGTTACAAGTCAAACATCAATACAATTAGACAGTTACAAGTCAAACATCAATACAATTAGACAGTTACAAGAGTCAAACATCAATACAATTAGACAGTTACAAGAGTCAAACATCAATACAATTTGACAGTTACAAGAGTCAAACATCAATACAATTTGACAGTTACAAGAAAATAAGTCAAACATCAATACAATTTGACAGTTACAAGTGTCAAACATCAATACAATTAGACAGTTACAAGACTCAAACATCAATACAATTTGACAGTTACAAGTGTCAAACATCAATACAATTAGACAGTTACAAGTCAAACATCAATACAATTAGACAGTTACAAGTGTCAAACATCAATACAATTTGACAGTTACAAGAGTCAAACATCAATACAATTTGACAGTTACAAGAGTCAAACATCAATACAATTTGCCAGTTGTAAGGAAATAAGTAAAATATCAAGAAAACATTGAAAAATACAAAAAAAAAAATGTGTTATTTTACTTTCCCATTACATTAAGGGAAGTTATAATAGATACATTGGCCAGTAGGTCTTCGGAATAGTGTCAAAAGAAAAGAATCTATCAAATATTTCATTTTTCTTTATATTAGAATAAATATCATCATGAAAACATATCCTTATCAGCTATAGTACATTAAAAATGGATTGTTTTGTAAATAAACTGTTTAAGTTTATCGTTATATTGTTCATGATTACAGGGCTGTAAAACAACGCTCCTGGACATGGCTCTCCAGTATACAAACATCCTCATCGGAGTTGGCATCGGTGTAGCCTGTCTTGAGGTATGTTTGTCATGTCAATTCAATGTCATAAAATTGGAAGAAATTACACATTTTATGTCTGTTGTGTTAGCACTTAAAAGTGATCAAGTCATGAATTTTTGTAATGTTCCAGGAGGAGGTGAGAAAGATTGAAACAAGTAGTAAAAGATTTTATAACCATTTATAATGATTTATTAATTGCTTTGAGAATGTTATGTTGCTGCGATGAAGCAGTACATAAAACATTGAATAATTATTTTTTAAAAGATCAGATTGCCTCCATTTGATTTCTGCCTCAAACTGGCAAATTTAGCAAGAACTGTCAAATGTTCAAAACTATCTGTTATGCAAATGAAATGCAGTATGGTAAGATCAAAGCAAGACGATACATTGAATAAAACCATATTAAGATAATCAAAATGATTTCAGATTGATAATATATACAGTTTATGGATCAAGCATGTTGTTTGATATAGTACTAGTGTAAAGCCTTTTGCAAACTTGGAATTTCTTAAATTTGAAAAATGTTGTTGGTTTCATATATATATATTGTCACCACAAGAACAATCACTCCCACACTGACTGGTGATATATAGTACTGCTGTAGGTCTGCCCAAACCACTGTAGAAAAGTGGGTAACGGTTAAATTTTGTATTGAAACTTGTAGTAAAAAGATAAAAGGTTTTTAAACGTACTGTGAAAAGATTGCACCCAGTCATAATCTACCTTCAAGCTAGCACATATTCAATTTAACAAATTTTATAAGTATCAGAAACTTTTGAGTTTAACAAGGTATGTAAAATATGGAAGTTTTAACCAAGAGGTAAACTAATTGAAAAGACCAAGTAAATACACTGTAATAAGATAGACACTATTGGTTGTGTAGCTAGCAAGGTCTTCTTTACACTTCGATGATTCTTCCAAGTGTTGGAATGTATTCAATGTCTCTGTAATCTGTAATGGTAAAATTTCTAAGATAAAATTCCTCATTTAAATTTTTTTTTTCATTGAAATTTCTAATCATCAATTATTTTAAGATCTTTGGCGTTGTGTTTGTTACTGTCAAAAATTTCTGAGATGAAATACTACATTTAAAGTATTTTTTTTTTTATTGTATTGAAATTTCTAATTATCGAATGTTTTCAGATCTTTGGGATCGTGTTTGCCATCTGTGTATGTCGACGTGTGGACAAGGATGATTCCTACTGAGAATGAGAAAACAAGATGACACCCACCAGTGGTTACCATGACAACACAGTCACTGTCGCCTTGACATTTTGCACTCTTGGTCATTTCTAACATCATTTGCTCTCATTGAAACCAAATGAGGATCTCATAAGAAACAAGTTTTTCGTGTTTTGCCATAAACTATTTTAACTACTACATCATAGGAACATGTTGGGTTATGTGTGTCGAAATCGTGTACAGTGTCATTCATTGAGGATCCTGACTAATTACCATCTCTCTAGTATTTGGCATTTCTAAATGACTAACGACAATGAAGTAAATTTTCACTTGTTTCCTTTGAGTGATTATTTCTTCATTGTTAACTTCATATATCACCTTGTTTATTAGGATTTACAAAATCAGTTAGGTGTTTGAAAGTCTGCTGGATATACATTAATTTTTATGTGACCAAAGGTTGTGTGTTTGGATAAAGTGACTGTTTTGTCTGAAATGTGATCTTCAGAATTCAAAAGATAGAAGGAATGGTTTTGGCATTTAGCTAAAAAAAACTATTCCTTCATTGTTTTTTTTTTATTATTCAAAGAAAATTATTGATATTGTCAAATTTATATATATATTTATTATTGGCGATGTTGACTACACTTTCCAATAAACGGGGGTTAAGCCACTGTCATAGTTGATAGACAGAAACTGACAACTTTGCACGAACCAGGTTTATTTTTTTTCCTCGGTCACTTGCAAGTGAAATGTCAACGGCAGTCATTGATTTGATGGTCAGATAATTTTTAAAATTCACGCGAACCTGAGAAAAAATTCTCAAATATTGTAAAAAGTGAAGAACCCCTACCTTTTTTGGAGAATAATTACGGATACCAAAGTATTTCAAACATGTTTCTAAGAGATCTTTAGTGCTGAGGGAAGTGCAGCCAACATGTTTATAGTGACATCTGTCTCATTGAAAGAGACGAAAGTTTTGTCTTTGTATAGTTACGATGGTCTATATATTTCTAGTTGTAGGTATTGTTGTCCAGGGTCTCACTGTCATGAACTTACTTTGTATGTGTATGTGCCTATTGTGGTTTTGAATGTATATCTAGAATTTATTACTAGACATAATATGTACATAGATTTTTAACATTGAATACATTTTTATTTGTCCTTGAAAATGCTGTCGAGTAAAGTACACTTCTTGTTCTTGTACGAAAACCAATTTGGAGTTCAGAAATTTAACCAAGAGAGAGAGTGAGAAAAATCTACCAAATGATCATGCTGTTGTAGAAAATCTCATCTTCCAATGATTTTTGGGACTCGGATATGGAAGTCCAGCTTTTCCTTTGGGAATCGCTCAAATTTTAGGAACCCACTTTATCTCTTGGATTCATCAGAAATTTTGGAACAAATGTTTTGGACGCACCTGAAATATTACAAAATTGACTATTTTCTCTTTATCTCTATATCTCAATTTTGAGAAAAACAATTAGTCATCTCTCATCTCTGAATGTCTACCAGAGTATTTGGAGTGTGCATTTTGTTGAGGAATCTAGTTTTTACGAGTGTTTAATATAACTAGTCCATGATCAATAGTAAACCTTTGTTGGGTTTGCATGCATCTCCTTGCCTGGTGAGTTTTACACTTCATTGAGGAGATTGCACACATTCGACCCCTAGGAAAAGTACAGATATGTAAACAGAATCCTTTTGACAAACCAAAATACTTTAAACATGCATTCAGTTGCTACATCTGTCAGAATAAATTGATATCTAAAATTATGAATAAAAAAAAATAGCTTATTCATTTTTTAAATAAGGGTAAAGAATTGGGCGTCGCCCACAAAAATTGAAAGATTTAGTAAGTTCAAACCGTGTAATAAGTCTGGCTGTACATGTACTTGTTAAAGGTGTTCTGTACGAAATGATGCCGCAAATCGGATTTAACTGTCTAGAGGGGAAATGTCAGTGCACTGTTACAATGCTTTGGAAGGATTGTTGTGTGGGTTAGTTATCACCATACTGCTATTAAATTACATAAAAATCCGATACAGAACTTCAAAACTGTCTTACTCTACTATTACCATGATGTATATAGCAAGCTTCATGCTGGAACAACAGCTGTGATTAGCAGTGATGTAGAATATTTCATGTCTTTTGTTTTGTTATTAAGAAGTGTATTTTATAATTTTAGATCTTGTAGAACAGTTGTTTTCTGTTGAGATGGATATTTTTGTATATTATACCTATATGTGTTTTTCCTGTTATTATGGTGTCTTAATAACAGTGTTATATAGAACCCAAAGTTTGCCTGTTACCCCTGTTATGTATTTTAATGTAAAGGTGTGTACAATATTTATATATTAATGTTAGAAAACCCTCTGAAAACCAAATATATGATATACTAAAACAAGTAAGTTTTGCTCATTATGTTATTTAGTGTTATTTGATATTGTTATTCATGGACAAATTTATAGATCTGAAGATATAGGATCCCTTTAAAGCATATTCTCATCAGAACTCTTTTATAAAATAGATCTGACAATATAATATCTCTTTCAAACCTAAAGTACCATGTTAAGAACTATTTTTAGCTCATCTGGCCCTAATATCTATTAAACCTTAAAAATATAAATTTTTTATAGATCGGAATATATGTTGTTTTTTTTTTTGTAATATCTCTGAAACCATATGTAATGTTAAAACTTTTTATAGATCTTAATGTGATATGTATTAAAACTATCTTTGTACTTTTGGAGAAGAATGACTCCTGGTCATGTCTGTAAATTTTCTCAGCTGTGAACAAAACTAATACTTGTAGTTACAAATGTTGGAAGTTATAGTTTTTTAAGAAAAATGAGATAAAGAAAACAAAAGACAATTTGCTGAAATTTATCATAGAAAATTATATTTGATTTGTGTATGTAAATCTGATTATTTGTAAAATAGGGCTGATGTACAGATATTAAAATTTCAAGCTACCTCACATGGTGAAATTCTTGTCTTTTTGCTGGTAGATATTAATTCTTTTTTTAAAAAATGTGAAATTTTGAATGAAACTTTGATCCTTTCTGCACCTGATTATAATGTTATTGCTATACAAAATTGTAATGTTCAGTATGAAAACAAAGTTCAAATAACAAATGTGAGATATGATGGATATTGCACACTTACAACATAACCAATTTCTTAGTTTGAAAAACAAGATAGTGTTTATCATCCTGTCATTCCTTGTAGAAATTTTACAACTTGTTTTGATTTAGCTCACCCACTCCTGTTTGTGTAGATATTGACTGGTCATGTAGTGTTGTAAGGCCTGTACATTACATTAGGTTGTTGAATGCGGTGGCTGTGTTTCTGTTGTCTGTGGTTTACATCCGACCTTGTCGTTCTGTACACAAGGACATTCTGTCTTGGTTGTCAGGGTACTATGTACATTTCACCTTAACCTGTCCAATCTGACCACTACTGGTGTCATGATTTTATCCAGTATACACAGGTTGTCAAAATATGCAGGTTTTATTGTCTTGTGGATCCGTCAAAACTTTTAGGTACATACACATCAGGACCTAGTTGTGAAGGTCTGTTATAAGGTTATACAGCTTCTCAGAATATACAGTGTCAGTTCAGACAGGTTAAGTTTTACCAAAATGTATCATATAGATCATTGTTTAATTTTGTGACCTCTCACCAATCTAACCATTGTTAAAATGTTTTTGTTTCCCTGATTTGTGTGAAAATGCTGTTAACACATAAAAAATCTATTCAATATTTTGCACTTATCATATTAGCTATAAGCTTACATACTGTTTATTGAATGATATTATAATTCTAATTCTGGATGTGAGAGTCAGCTGTTGAATTAGTTTCCTTTTTCTCAAACTGTACATGTTTAGTATTCTTTAGGCTAATTTCAGTCGAGATCTATACCTGTCAATTTGATACCTGGTTCCACCATTGATAATTTATTACAGGAGAGCAGTGTTTGATTTTTGGTAATTCAAGGGAAGTAATTTAAGCTAATTCCATGTTACATGGTATATAGCTCTACATATGGTCTTTATTAGGATGAAAAACTTCCAACTGTCTAATTTTTCATTAGCTTTTTTATATTTTATTGTTACAAAGTTTGAAAATGAAAATACATGTGCTACCTTACCAGAGAAATTAATTTAGTGCTAAATGTAATGAAATCAACTTAATTCAATTCTCATCTCTTTGACAAAATTTCTTTTTTTTCTGAGTTGTAATGTAGGGCATTACAATATCATGCATAATATTTACATTGTGTTATTTTGGTGTAGATACAGTAATCAGTGGGCTTAAGTTGCCTTGTCTCAATCATTTTAACTAGATATTTAATAGTGACTAGTTCACTGAAGTAACCAGTATGGCTCAAATATTGTTACTTTTTTTCTTTATGTTTGTTGTGTGTTTATGGTATAATTTTGCTACATATTTGTATTTCTTCACAGAAATCATTTTGCATTGATGTAAGAAATTTCAAATTACACTAGAAACATGGTTCACTGTAGTTGCATTAGAGAAGAAACGGTGCCTTTGTCCCTTCCAATCTAGTCTGAATGTCAACAAGTTTCCATTGTTTTTTAAGTGATGTGCTGTTACAAGCTTAGTCACCAGACAGTCCTGTGAAGTTTTCTTACAAGTAGCTTAATAACATAACTCAAATTTTAAAACCCGATATTTCATTATTATTCAAAATTTTAGAATGGAACTGTGTTTAAAAAGCACCATAGATTTTTTTTCTCTATATAAAATTGAATTTTAATAAAACAATACATTAACAACCTGTCTTATAAAACCCTCTTTATCTACCCTTCAAATAAAAAAAAATATGTATCACAAAGCTCGACTGAAATTTTAAGTATAATATGCTTCCTTAAAAATATTTTGAAGGGCTTTGATTTTGTCTGCATAATAAACCATATATTAGATGAAAACAACTTTCTACTGCATGTAAAATAGTGGCTTTTAGGTCCATGTATATACCAATAGTAATTTTTATCACAGCTGTATTTATCTTTTGTCAGTATTAAAGATAGATAACTTACTATGGTCATTACTCTACTGTCCATTACTGTCAGTATTAAAAATCTTAACACAATTTACAGCTACTCTGAAAAGTTGATACTTAAAGAAAAATATTTAGAAGAAAAAAAAAAAAAACTGTGATGATCTATTATGAAAAATTTGCAACAAAAAGTGAATGTAATAACTTCCATGTAATGGTTTTATGTACCAGAATCACAAGATATTATCACTCTCTGAAGACAATATTCTATTTACAGTTTTAAGTACGGTACACATTTTGTTGTATTCTGCTCCACTGGTTTAGCTCTGTTCTCCTGACTGTTGAAATCTGCCACTGATTCACTGTAGACGTACATCATTCCAGGTATTTTTACATGTATTCTTTTGAGAATTCAGGAATAAAACTTTTTTAGAATATAAATCTGTTGTTATTTATTATTTTATTTATTTATTGATGGTTTCGTTAATTATAATTAAATTACCAAGTATATTTTACTGCGTTTGCACAGATGATTTTAAACTGGAGACACAAATCATTTTAAAATTTTTGAGATGCTACATATAGTTTAAAGGGTATGTAATAGTAATTCTACATGTATGGCTTTGTAGACAGGTAATTTATAGAGAAACTGATCATTCTGTTTACTGGTTTTCTTGCCCTGTGAGAACAATATAGCTAGTGTCATTTTGAGGCAGAAGTTCCATGCAGTAGTTAGTCCATGAGTAACATATGGGAGGTCTGTTGCATGACATCAGGAACAACTTGGTAACGTTATTCTGTGTTTTGAGCACTCACATAACTATAACAACACAGGATATTTTGTAATTTGAACACCCTTTGAAATAAACTACCCCAGGTAGGGACTGAAACACATACCTCAGATCTTCACCTGACGTTGCATTAAGTTTGATGTTCCTGGCTGTATCAACTGAGCTATTATTGCAACTAGATAATTCCACAATTACAAATGGTTATAAAGTGCCATGAAGTAGCTATGAATGCTAACAGTACTGTCAACATACAAAAGCTCGTCTCGCATTGTTTATCACTGAACCTAAAAACTAACATTAGGAGGCGATTTCACCAACTTTAATCTATATCTCAATATACTGATATTTAACCCGGAAATTATGTCTTTCAACACTGGCAACAAAAACTCGACATTAAATTTCATTGAATTATATTTCACTCCAAAAAAAAAGGCAAGACTCCTGGAAGTAATATTCACCTTAAATCCAAATAAGAAGTTTCCTGAATCTATATAAAAAATACTTTGGATAAAAATTTTTAATTCCAATTTGAAGCAATATACTGATATTTAAACAGGAAATGATGTCTTTCAACACTAGCAACAAAAATTTAACATTTAATTTCATTGAATTATATTTCACTCCAAAAAAAAAAGTAAAAGGCATTTCTGAGACTCCTGCAGTTTCCCCTTGGTTCCTAAGTAATAGTTTGACCTTAAATCCAATTAAGAAGTTTTTTACCTATTTTTTGGAAAGTATGTCTTTTTCAACATCTTCACCAAAAAAAATCTTGGATAATTTTTGTTTCTGAGAAAGTACTAAAAAATATACAGTCAAAGTCCAAAATGAATTAAGAAAAGACTTTGGATAAAAATTTCTAATTTCAATTTGAAGTAATAGTTGACAATCCATCTTGGATTTTGAGAGTAAAATCTTGTTACTGCTATATCTGAGGAAGTACAACCAAATTAGCACCCTTTTTGGAGTACACTTATAAAGGATTATCCACCTGTAACTTTTTTTAATACTTTGGGATCTTTTTTATTACTTTCAACAGTTGCACCATTAATTTAACATTCAGAAACCAACACAGACGTTTATGCCGGGGTGACAACAGAAGCTCCACCTCTCTTCTCTACAAAAACACTAGTCACACGAATCATTTACTTTGTATACAAACATCAACTCCAAATATTCATAAAAGATTTATTTCACAGTGTACAGTATAACAAGATGTTACTGAAATGTCCCTGGGATTTGCTCCAAATGTCAAGTCAATGTGGAAAATCACAAGATACATGGTCCTCGAGTGTATTTTCAAAACATGGAATTCCCATACACATACAAGCCTACGTGTTCTGTAGTAGTACATTTTGATCGACCAATCACATCCCAGTGCATCAGGAGCACTCTCAAACGTTTTCTCAACTTCTTGTTACAGAAGTTAAGTGATTCACCTTTCAGCACCTCAGATCACTGGATCCAGTGTTAAAACAATATCCATTAGTATAAAGTGTTGTAGTACCAGTCTGAGGCTAGCCTCGAATTAAACAGCTTAAAATATTGCAGAAACTGTTCTTGTAATCAAATAAACAGGAAGTTTATATCTTGGATATAAAACATTCTGGACTTCTTCAGCTGAACAGTTCTTCGAGGATCTTCTTTGAGGGTTCCTTACTGGCTATGTAAAGATGATGTTAGCACTAATGCGGCATAATTTCATCAACCTTCTCCGTCATAAACACAAATCCTGAAAACTTCTCGCCTGACAGAAGTGAATGTGATGAATATTTTTCCTGGAATTTGACAAAACATCTCAAAAAAGATGGTTACAATTGTCAAGAAAAATTAAAGCATGATTTTGTCATTACTTAGTGTATAAAAGCTGTGACTTTTTGCTTCCATCATAAAGACCTTCTATCTATCATAAATGAATTTATGAAGGTCGTGACTATTTGCCTCCACCATAGCCTCAGTGATCTGATCAATATCTAGATGTTTTGTAGTCGTCGGTGGTCCACCTTCTCAAGCTGTACAAGTCTGGATTAGAGTTAAGTTTCTAAATGAGAACAAATGTATAACACCAGGGACCCAATCGGAAATAAGTATTGATGGATGATCCCAGGTAAAATGACATTTTTATCAACAATATCAGTTACTTGTATTTTTAAATTATCTTACAATAATAAAATAATAGATATACAAGTAAATTAGGACATATGTACATTATATGGTACTTTTAAATTATGTTTCATGTAACCATTGTCATTTTGCCTAAATAAATATTCTTCTTATTATCATTGTATATTGCTGTACTTGTATACCAAATGTCATACCACAGATTATCTAGTTCACTTTGTCTGCTAGAACTGCTGATTCAGGTAATACAAGTCCAGGGAACAGAGAGACATGAGGTATAACACTGACGTGAGACATCTGAATAACTGGGACTTTCTTTGGTGTCCTTAGCTTTAAAGCTTTAAAATGAAGACACCTGAAATTCTCCTGTAATTAGTCCGAAGGACCAAAACATTACTTCTGATTCAAAGTCTGAGGGTGGGCTTATCACAGGACAATGAAATACTGTATACACCCGATGAACAAATATATGTTAGGGCCTATTATCACATTTTTGTCTCTAATGATTATATACAGTTAATTTTGCCCATATTGTATTGGTGCTGTCTGCATGGTCATACCAGTGATTTTTCAGTAACTAAGCTAGGCTAATACCAAGTTATCGTACATATACCAGCCCAAGCCTGTAACACTTCATTCCCTTTCTGTATATTAGCTTTACATTTTGATGCTTTTGTTAAGCATAAGCATCATCTGAAGGCCTTTTATCATGATGGGGATATGTTTTCAATAACATTACTGAATTGTAAATTATAGTTTTTGTTTTGTTTCAAAAATTTGTCATAAAAATATCATAACTACATATCTTAATATCATACCCTTCATTAGCCCTTGACCAGATATCTGAACCTGGGCCTTAATCAGTCCTTATCCTGATATTATGATCACTAGATATCAGACCCTGGGCCTTAATCGATCCTTTGGCTGATATCACAAAGACGATAAATCAGACTTTGAGCCTTAATCAGTACCTGGGCTGATATCACAAAGACCAGATATCAGACCCTGGGCCTTAATCAGTCCCTGGGCTGATATCACAATGACCAGATATCAGACTCCTACCCATAATTGGTTCTGCGGTTGAATTAGGTTGTGATATCAAAATAGTCACACAATAATCTTTAATTACCAAGCACAGGCAACCCTCTGGTATCACCAAAATAAATATCGTTACTTGATTCATTTAATGTAAGTTTGGATCTCCGTATTCATTAATGCAATACACAAAGTCTGTACTTCATCTTTCTCTTTTCATATCTTTTTGTAACATTTTGGCTCCACAGGACTGCACTGTGCTGCCTTTTTCTGAATATTATCAAATCAAACACTATGATAAACTATTGAATTTCTCTATCGATTCAATAATTACCTTTTACCAATGTGTTAAATATTTCCTTAATCAAATGAATACAAATAAAAACATTTAGTTAATAAATGATAAAAAAAAACATATTTAAAGGATACGGTTTGAGTTGTTCAGAGAAGCTCTTCATGTCCTCTGCAATGCCTTCTCCGCCTGATTGCTGTGTAACCACAGACAGCTCCACAAGACTGGATGTTGAAAATGGCTCCAAGTTCTCTGTATTACCAGGCACATTCATCTAAGAGACAATCAGAACAAATACACAGGGTTGATACTGGGATGGAAAAGTGACCCAGGTAGACAGGGAGGATACTATGTAAAAATATCAACTCTAAGTAAACAGGGTGGATATAATGAGGGTGAAAAATCGACCCCAGGTTGACAGGAGTGATGGTGGGATGAAATAAAGATGTACACAGGGTTGATAATGGGGTGAAAAATTGATACAGGTAGGCAGGGTGGACACTTGGTAGAAAGAAATATTGATTCTCGGTAAAATACAAGGACTCCAAATTTATAGGATTAAATTACTGATACTAACATTAAATATCAAATTCATGCAGGTACACAGGGTTGATAGGGGTGTGAAATATCTCCTCCTGGTAGATGATTGATTATCTTCAAATGTACAGTTAATAAGATTGTACATTACTAACTGCACATTACTAACCTTATAAATTTTTGACACGGTCACTTTCATTTTTCCCTTATGGAAATAAAATCCCTTTATGACGAATTCATGGTCCATCCTGTGAGAAAATAAAAAGAAACAATATTTTACATATGCACAATTGGTTATTTGATGTCAAAAATATTTCACTAAATCAACATTAATTTTTAATATTTTTATATATACTGTTATACAGGGAAGTTATGTGACAAATCCAAAATGTTCATCATGAATATATTTGTTTTTTTGTTATTTCACACTGTTACCTGGAGACTAGGCCATGGAAAGTATTTCATACATTTAAATGTCAAAAGTTAGATTTTCGTTTTGTTATTTCACACAATAGACACATTGTAATCTTATATATCATACTTCTATCGAAATTAACAAATGACACTGCCATAATTGAAATGTCAAATCTTGCAGTAATGTACATGTGTTTTCAAAAATACCCAGCAACATGTATACCAGTATGTATTATGGAATATAGTATGTTTCAGATAAATCTTGAACCCAATTTATGGTAGATATCTCTAGACAATAGATAACATAACTACTCTACCTGCTGGAGCTCATGGATTATATGAGTACAAGGCAGCGACCATATGCTCCGATGAAGATTTTCAGGGAGCATAATAATTTTTTATGTGTAAGTTGGTAACCATTCAGTGCATAAACACAGCTGTACATTTTATTGTAATATCATGAAATAAATACTGGAAATGGAGAAAACATGGTAATTACCCGGAGGACAAAACTAAAATTCTTGAGTAATGTCTACATGTATTTGTAATTATAGTGTTTTACCTGAATCCCAGTTCATTAAGGAATTGAACGATATTGTCAGAAGAACTGCAGTCTATCACGTGTCTAACCATGGTCGGGCGATTCTTGTCTCCCATCTCAGCCATACCTGCATATCTCACCTGCCTGAAATAACATATAACTTGTTTACGCCCAATGAAAAGTATGTGTCATCTTGAGGTTGGGTCAGCCTACAATCTCACTAGCAACATTCAGGAGGCCTAGCTGGTGTATGTTATTCAAAGTAATATTGGGGCAAAGTTCCTTGATCAAAGACACAACCACGATAGCATGGCATAATCTGTGATCATTAAGCTCCCTCAGAAACACCAACAGCCTTGAGGAGGGACTGGAGTACACACCTTAGATCTTCCCCTGGACTTGCCAAGTCGGATATTTTTCACATCAAGCTATTATAGAAAAAAAATTTTCTTAAACTTCTTAGAAATTGGTCTGTAACTAAGGATTGTTTTTCTTCCTTTGACATTTGACACTACTTCAGTATCGCATAATCACTGATGTCACGACGTTGATTTTTAATTGGTTAGATATGAAAAGAAATCATCACTGGATCAAAAAGAAAAATAATGAAAGAAACTGACACTATGTGCATGTATGGTGAACATCAATTTAAAAACTTTAAAATTCAATTAATTTTGTGTTTTTATCCTGAAGTCTCTTCTTCATGGTTAAACTCAGACATCATTTAATTAATGTGTTATTGTAATCATCTATTTCAGTTTTGTTTCAATCTATTTTCCTGAGATATTGAAATATTTACTTACCAGGAGTCTTGTTCAACCAGTGAGTGTCTGACTCTCAAACTGAGGGGCTGTGTAATGGTTGTATTTTCTATAAAAAAAACATGCAAATGAAATTTAAGTTCTTACAGTTACTAATTCAGTCATTGGCACACTATTCTGTTATGAGATTTCAGATATGAAGTGTTTTAAATAAGAAGATCAATATTTTATTCTCCTATTTTCTAAGGTGAAGATCATAGATAATAGCACATGGTATATTGTTGGTAACAAAGAGACTTGGCAACTCACTGTCCATATATTTCTGTATAATAGCTGTAATACATATATATGTGGAGCATAGGAGCGTGCCAAGTCCCTATGGTTGGTGATATTTTTCATAAGGTAAATCATTTCAACATATCTTTTAAAATAATCAATTTTATTTACGTTACAAAAGTAATGTGGTTAATTGCCCCATCATGAAGCAAGTTAAATCCCAAACATTTGTGGAATTCCTTCTTGGCCGACGAGGGACATTGTCAATCGTCCGATATAGACGAGTCCCGAGGAGGAATCCCTCATAAGATTAAGATCCGTTCCAGCAAGAGTATTTAAATATAGGCTTCTGATATGCTTACATCGCAATTCGTGTGAATTACATAAAGTTTATATTGTTACGTTTATATTTGTAGTCTATATTTGTTGTCAATACGATAATAATGAATGGAAAAATCATACTTATTGAGAAAAACATTTCGTGGTCGGTGAAGGTTTCAAAAGGACTGTCCGAGTTGTCACATAAACCACGCAGTCTGTGGAGAAGAACGTCATGTGCATTCTCCATGATGCTTCCCTGTAACAGGAATTCATTGGTGGGCGCAAACTTGGACACTTTTGATATCATCTGATCCATGATTCAATAGAAGTCAATGTTCACTCTGATGGAAGCCTTTGTCTGTTTTTTCACTTCTGATTTCTTGGGATAGTCATTTTTTAAGAACACTTATTGGTTATATGGATAAACATGTTACTAACGTCACATTAGAAACAAGAAATACAACTTATGAAAAGACGGTTGAAATGACAATGTCCCATTCGTTTTGCAGAAATAATACTGATGCCGGTCAATCTCTCATGGAAGCAGCCATGTTGATTTGTACCGGATGTAAGGGTCAATCACTCTGTCATACTTCGAAAGTGAAAGTAAATTAAAAAAGAAAAATTCGATGTTCTTAATATATTTTTGAATGATATGCCGGTTTACTCTTTATTCCCTTAACTTTATCAAAAAAATAATAATTTTGACATCGAAAAATCGAATGTTTGATTTCTTTTATAATTTTGATAGGCCATGTCAAGTAATATTTCAGAAAAATCGATGTTTTTTTCTATATTAGAAGTAATTATTGTAAAATTATCACATTAGCAGTCATTTGAATAAACCACCGAATCTCCGAAATAACATTTTTCTTCATAATGATAAAAACATTTAAGAGAAAAAATGGTGAATAAATACTGAAGGGGCATCAGAAATTGGGTAGTCCATAATCTTGTCACTGAAACCTGTAACTCAGAGTATTAATTTTAGTACGACACAGATGGTGATACTTTATGTTTCCCGGGGATTAACGTCTTCGCAACAGCCATGATAATATGGCGCTAAATGTCAAGGGAAAACTAAGAAAGAAAGAAAAAACAGAAGGAAGGGAGGAAAAAGGAATGAAGGCAGTAAGATGGGCAGCAGCCACATTGTGAGATGTCGTTTTACATTTTACCCATAAGATACCAACTTTTCATTTTTGGCGGTACCACCTGCTAATCATGGTAATGTCACCTATTCATTAAGTTTATAATACCAATTTGTTGTAGTGGTATCTCTATTGTAGGTGATATCACTTTATTGTTACGTTTTATGAAGAAGATGGTAAACAAACAAACAAGCATAGATCATTTCCAAACAGACAACAACACTTCTAGACGTTATACATCGACAAGAGGAAACTAATGTACATGTAGGGTTTCTTTGCAGTGATAAAGCCTCCGACACCGTACATAACATGATGGGTTTCAATATAAATTGCAGAAACTTGGTCTTCAGTCTAAATCATACGTTCTGATAACAGTACTATAGTGAAACAGTTTGGAAGCGATGACTTTTTTCATATCTACATTTGTACGGCTTTGATTAATGTTTCCGCCGTCTTCCGAATATGTTTAATTTCGGCTGAATACGAAAATTATGAAAAATACATAAATATACATGTACAGTGTACGTACACAATATATGTATGCAAGACATTGCTAATGATGATATACACGATATATTGTAGATCCTTAATAGTCACCGATAATGCAAGATTATCAACGTCTTCTTTGTAAAGTATATTGCTCTGTTTATAAAAATCTTTAATTTGGAGGAAACAAAGAGAATGAATGCTGCAAAGGTGGTTTTTAACTAGGTCATTCACATGTGCTGCATAGGTGCAAAACAAGTTAGAGACTGTCGTAATACAGTTATCATGATATAGGGTTCATACCATGTATGTCAGTGTCAATAGCCGGCCTATAAATCTACCCAGGCGTAACACCCTTCACTCAGAGAAGTTTTACACAACAGACGATCGCCTTATCATGTATCGTCCATTTGAGTTTTGGCGATAAAGGATTCAACATGCTTCTGTAACTGCGGGAAGAAATTGATAAATATTCTGGATATACAATGCGGTAACTTAGACAATAGAGAACATAGCGACTAAATGTTATTTATTTTATCAGCGAGTTACGTGTCCCGTGCTTCGACCGATAACAATACCGTTAAGATATTAGACTGATCAAATGCTGCCTGGTTGACGACTGATAAAAACGATACCAAAAAGATTGTTACATGTTATTATATATATATATATATATATATATATCTACCACCCCCGTCGCCCCCATAACAAAACAAGGAGATCTTTCAGTCTAGGAATATACTGTAATTGTAAAAGTTTATATGAAAATAACGAAATTTATTGATTCACGGAACTAGTGTACCTCCCATCTAGTTTTGGCTTTTCTTTTGATCACTTTGGATTTTCCTCAGTCGCCTTCTAGGATTCAAAATTTTAGGGCCGTGGCATCACTGACGAGACCTAGACGGACGAAACAGCTGTAGGATGCAGTTTAATCCATTGCTTGGCTCTAGTATATTTTGTATACAATCTTACTCTTAACTTATTTGGAGATATTTTAGTGTGAAGTTGAACAACCTCTGTTCTCATTATTTCTTACTACAGAAAGAATCGTAGAAGTATTTTTTTCAGCCAAGACTTATCACGAATTGTTTTTACATAGTAATACCTTACGTTGTGGCAATATGTGCATATGACTTACTGACCTAAATACTCGGTCAGGTGTAACGAACTGCATTGGAAATGGTTTAAAAACATTCAGTAGTCTACATGTACACGAACTTGCAGCTTTCGACATTTACAAGGATTTGGTGTGTTTTTGTGATATCATGAGTATTTCAAGAACTTAAGAAGGAAAGGATTAAGAGAACATCGAGGAAACATTTTTCAATATGATTCAGACAAGGTAAGAAACAGCAGCAATAAACCCTCTCGTTATTTGTTGGGATGGATGAAAGCAAGTTCATTGTTACACACCAGAAATGTAAACTGGCACTATTTAGCAAGTTGTCCTGACTTGCCATAACTACCTTTTTAGCATCACTTATATTTGTAGTCTCACTCTAAAGAATATTAAAACTGACATATACAGGGGTATCCCCTAATACTCCGGATTCCTGCTACCGTAAACTCGGCGCCCCTCTTCCCTCTGTCCCCACCGTACAAATCACTTATCACTTATATTTGTAGTTTAACTCTAACATATCTTAAAAATGACATATATACAGGTGTTTCCCGTAACACTCCGGATTCCTGTCACAGCAGCCCCCTCCTTTTGCCTGTCACAGTAACCCCTCCCCCTCCCCCACTTTGCTGCTTAAAATGTGTGAAGCTTCTATATCATTTTCATATTTTGACACATATCTATGGACGTTTAAAGATAGTTCGTCATATAACTTGTCGATACAATCGGTTATACAGCATTGACATATTATAAGTTGAAACAACGTGTGCCCAATCCATTTACAACTTTGTTGAATAAAATATGTTTAAACTAAACATGATCATGAATATCGACTCACCAAAACTGTAGCGAACACGTCATTCCGTGGTGATTTAAGAAAGAAGGAAAACACATTGCGTATCATATATGACGAGTTTTGTTTTGATCTGTGTATATTATTAATATCAGTGACTTACGATGTTAAATATTTACCAGAAAGACAAATACTAAATGTGTGTATGTCGAGATACAGAAACGTAAACATATTATAATTGTAAACAGCAGAGCTTATTTTAAACATTAAATAACAATTATAAATTCATTTTGTTATAATAAACACGACATTTAAAAAAAAAATAATTTACTGAAACAGAATTATACTCATAAGTAACCTTTAGTCAAAGATTGTGAATATTCCTTTGATTTTGTGATGGTTTTGATTGTTGTTATAATACACTGGGATATATTTCAATCTGTAAGTATGTTAAATTATCCTTTCCACACACAGATAGAAATGAAATTTATCCCCGATACCATAATTATATAATGGACCTATTCGATTCAACCGCTGTATTCCTTTCCATCACCCTACTTCTACTGGAAATTTATTTTTAGATATTCGAAATTTACGAATAATTTTACGTTTTTCTAATTAAGCAACACCAAACAGTGTTCAATACCATTTTGTACACAACATATACGTGTCCCCTGGAAACGTTTTCAATTTCATTTAACCAGCACCGGATACATTCGATAACTCAATAATTTGTTTTTATTCTAAATTAGTGAGTACCAAAATTTAACCATTCTTACGATTGAATATCTTCCCGTTTTCTCTTTAGACTATAAAACTCTCTTTGGTTTTACAGATTCCGGTCGTTGTTGGTTAGGAAGACAGTATCTGGACATGGTTGTCGAAGGGCTGCCACTGCTAAGGCAGAACGGCCAGCAACTGACGGGAAAACTCTCATGGATATTCCTGGTCCTAGCGGAATCTATAGTCTTCCTTACATCGGGATGCGACTGGAATTCAAACCATTCAGTAATTAAAAAAAAAATAAAAAAAAAAAAAAGAAGAAGAAAATTTTAAAATGTTTTAAACTCTGGGCCAATGTCTGCTGTTGCCTCTCCTGCTTAGCATTTTGTCAGAACTCAGCATTAGAAACAGAAAGCATTTTGTCTTACTTTCAACAAAGATAAATATCAATTGCAAATTAAACGACTCATATCTTGTGAACAAAAGATACATGAAAAAACACCATTCTGTCGATTTTTATTTTTTCCCTTCAAATGCAAAAAAGCTGTCAAAAATTGTTTTATTAGCGTGTGTTATGCTGCAGTTGTATGTGACATTATTTATCAATGTAGTTTTCTGTCGTTGACAAATTACTTAAGTACATTTTTCTTAATGACAGCGATCAATGAAAGTCATATACTTATCACAATATACAATTTCATCAGGTAAATATGACATCCGTCAGATGAGTACCAAAATGGAGGCGTTGAGAAATGAATATGGTCCAATCGTCCGTGTGAGGTTAGGGAAGAGGTGGTTTGTGTACCTGTTTGATCCGGACGATATAGGGACAGTTTTCAAAGAGGAACAGAGGTATCCCCAGCGTATCACGCTTCCTCTCTTGTCTACATATGAAAAACGAAGAAATTTAGCACCGAGTCTTTCCAACTCGTAAGTTATCACAATAATCATTTGCTTTTTCGTTGTCTCTGTTGTGGTCCTCATCATCGTCTTCATCCTCGCTATCACCAGTACCTCCTCATCTTGAATAATTTAAGTTGTGGTTATTAACATCAATATCGTTTCATATGCTGAAGTATACTTCAATTTTCTTAACATATACCAACACGAAATGGCATAAAGAATTTTCAATATTTTTTCTATTAAATCTTTTTAAGAAACGGCGAAGAATGGCATTCTATGAGAGGTCCCACTCAGAAAATCATGCTTCGTCCCAAAGCTGTGACAAAATATACGCACAAGCTGAGTAAAATA